TTAGTGTGAATTATGAATATGCTACTAGCTGTCTGCTGGGAGTTTATGAATAATACTAGGTTTGTCCGCTATTGCTGATTGATTCGGCCTGAATTTTCACATAAATTTCAATCTGAGCCTGTAGGCCGTAAACAGACTGATTTACTGGAAGTTAGCAATTTATTCCTGGAAAAATTAAGCAGTTGCAATTTTGTCTTTTTTATGACCATTTTTGCTATATTTTCCTATTGCTAGACCACGTACTAAGATTAGAATCGGACAGGCGATTTGTGATACAAATGATAAAGTATTGTTTAGGGGTTGACTCTGTGCTCGGCTGTTTTCTAAATTACGTTTTAGTGGAAGTCAAACCATGAAAAAATGTATCTTAACTGACTCTAACAGATTGACACTACCGTTTGGTAGTTTTGCGGTTACCCTGAAAACAGCATGTGCACAAAAAATGTCGAGCGTGTTTTGATTCTTATTATTATTGCTCATAAGGCAAAATATGAGGCACATTTCCAAATAAGGATTTTAAAGGAACTAGTATTTCGCCTTTTAAAACCAATGTGCTTACTTTCACCACTTCTTGTCTGCATTGTGCGAATGTAGAAATCACATGCCAGTTTGGAAAAGTTGTTTTTCAGTACTCTTTCTTGGTCAAATTGGCCTCCTCTACCAGAAAAACATACTAATGTGCATATGCAATCTAGGACACTTGTTAATACAGGACACTTTTTCGGCCAAACAGAGTAGGCCTTTGGTATAACAACTTAGAATCAGAGTCCGTAATGAAATAAATCCCTCCCTGAACGCGCCAAGCTAATAAATGTAGTACACATCTACAAAGCCGGATTTCGGCCATCACGTTTTCCATAGCTTATTTTTCCACTCTAAGGCGGTCTAAGACGATGTAATTTTCAGGTGAATTTCGCCAAATACCTGTTGATTTTTAGGATGCCTATGAGAGAATTGAGTTTCCCCTCCATGGCGTCAGTTGGAAGACGAAAAATAATTTTCATATAAATGTGCATCTGGATAGACCAGCCGGATCTCTTGGGCATGCGAGTATTGCAGAAATAGATTTGTGGTTTTACTTGTTTAATCCTGAACTTGCTCTACGTACATATAGATACGTTATTTGCGAAAAGTAGGAAAATTTATTGGGTTACCTTCCGACGCTTGCATCCTAGGTCGTCGTCAGACGTTGATTAAGTGTGCTAAAACAATTAACGTTTCAAACCTGTTCGAAAAATCGATATTTGTTCGGCGTTTGCGCGTCATTATAGATTGATTGCTCCTCGTTTCTTTTAATTTTCCAGACATATTTACATAGGGCCTCTAACTCACTGTGCCAATTGATGCATGAATCATCCGAATGCATGGCTTCGAAAGACTCTCAGCAGACGCCGGAAATGCGAACGCTGTCCGATGCGGAAGTGCCCCCAATACACACGATAGCTTGACTGTCGGTTTTGCTGATGTCCACCGTTTGCTCCGCAGCAAGGGTAGAGCGCAGACGGTGACTTGCGTGTGAATTAGTTTATATCGATACTATATTTGAACTGCATCTGCCGCACACTGTCTTCCTCTCAACCTGGGTCTGGTGTCAAGACAGAGTCAAGATGACTAGCGGCGGGGAAGGACGCAGGTGGTTAGGATGGCGTAAACCCGTACCTAGGCGTGTCGTCACACCCCCTGGTTCACAACAAACATTTGACCAGAATGTTAACCTACAACAACGACAACGTCATATAACCAACAACCTACAACAACTGGGTCCGGTCACCGCACCCAGTTTGCATTTGTTATGGGTGCGTATTCCAGATAACGCCTACCAGAATCCGGTGTGGCGCCCGTTTTGGTCCAGCACATTTACTGCGTGGCCCGTTTGGGGGGCCCGGTATCTAGTGTATGCATGACCACATGGGACAGACGGTCTCTCCTCTAAACTGCCAGTTCATGCTCGTTTGGAGGCGGATATTCCTGTTCAACCACTTTATACGGCATCGTAAGGACCGCACGGAATCTTGTAATCGGCTTCCTCCTTACCAAGATGGGTTTGAGGGACAATCCGAAACGTCAAGCCAATGAAGTTCTTATTACAGTAATCGCATCTTCGTCTACTGAACTGCTTCCTGACACTCGTCTATTCGCTTTCTTCAGCAAAAGAATGAGTGTTTTAGGCATGTTTCCCGTGAAATATAATCGACAGGGCAACGGATTCGTGGCTCACTGGTTAGAGGCGTGGACTTCTAACAAACTGGTCGCGAGTTTGAACCTCGGGTGTGTCACACTTCGGGGTTGGGTAAGACTGGCTGACAACGGCCAATAAGCCAGAAATGACCATCCCAGTTTCACTTGTCTTTGTGGGTAATATCATTCTACATACAATGGAATTTTCAAGGACTTCAAAAATCAACAAAATGTTCCTGCTACTTAAATGGACATTTTTGTAGACTATAGGTTTTTCATGCAGCCAGAAAGACGTTCGTTTGAAAGCCAGCATGCTGATATACTCGAATTTTTATAGAATTATGCTATAAAATGATTAGTTTTCCAACCCTACTTAATTAATCTTTTCGAAACAGAAAAGCATTTCGGAATTTCGGTTGACATTTCATGGGTTAGCCCACCTACTGTATGCTAAATGCGATTACCGACAAAGATACGGAAGACTGGATTGTGTATTTCTCGTCAGCCATCCTTACACAACCTCGGGTTAGGGACATCTAAGGTTTGAACTCGCGTCTTTTCGGCTATTATATATTCGTGAATCTCATGCTCTAACTACTGAGCCCCTGGCTCGTTTCGTATCAATCGCGATCGTGAATATTAAGCAGTTTGGGGATGCGTTCACAGGCCAAGTTACGGAACATGCTCGTCAAACTGTGTTTTGATATTCGACCTCTGTCTTCATCGATTTTTTTACCTGCCTTTATTACTACTCGCTATACAACTGTCTGCGGGGCTTGAGAGCGACCTTAAAATCACCAATGGACGAGCAGGTCCTGTAACCCGATCGGCAACCGAATTTTCAACTTAGATAATATTCAAGGTCGCAGTCTAGAGGACAGTGAGCCCTTGGTTCAATTTTTAGAGCCTTGAATTTAAAAACGCTCAGTAGCCGAAAGAACGCAGGTTCGAACCTCAGATGCTCTCAAACGTGGGGGTGGGTAGGTCTGACTGATGACGGCCAATAGGCTAGAAATGACCATCTCAGTCTCCCTCGCCTTTGCTGGCAATCTGCTTCTGTAAATATAAAGCTTTTCTTGAATGACACAATATTTCAGCTTGTCTGGCTAGGTACTACAATCAGAGTTTCACTACTTGACGTTTGGTTTGAAAGTCTTGAGGCTTCATGAATTCAGGAATACCTGTTTCCTTCAGAAAATTACTTTCGCTCAAGTGTATATAAAAATGGAATGTCTCATGTCTACGCCGGGCCAAACATATTGTACTAAGAGCTACATGCCTTAAATATGCCATCCTTAGTATAAACAACAAGTAAAATGAAGGAGATAATATAAAAGAACCGAACCATCATAACATGTTTTCTGATATCTTTGAGGATGCCGCGAGTTTTAGAAACTCCCAGCCAAGTTCGGACGCTTTTAGAAAGAGACTTTTAAACTCATCTAATCTGTTTATGGATGATGATTCGTTCTCCACTGTAACGAACCATTCCGAGAAATAAAGTGACTAGCAATTTCAGTTTCATTCTCAGAATTTTCCTACGCGTGGAGATACTCCAGCAGATGTGAATCAAAATGAACAGAGGAAGGCATAAATTCTCATTATTTCACTCGATATCAAAAAATTAGATCATTGAAATTAACTCAGCAGCAACCAATTGTTCAGCTGAATGCCGTTTGGCGGAAAATGAGTCACCAGATTGCGTAGGGACTGCCGTTCAAACCGGAAGGGAATACGGTAAGCAGATAGACCGAGAGGAGTGTCACCGTGCAGGAGAACAACGACGCCCTAACCAAAGGCGAGTAACTTTCGCCTAGATTTTGACTACTGACGAGGAAATAACGCCCACTGCGAACGTGACTATTGGCTTTTGGACGTTCCGGCCGCCTTCACCTTCGATTGAGGTATTAACTGATCGGCTATTTCCAGGTTGCAATGAAGGCAAAAAAAGGATTCACAGTACAGCCCAAAAAGCAACAAAATGACCGTTCTCTTTATCGGTATATGAGTGTAAACAGGAGGCCTTTCACAGGCGTACTGGTATTTGTGTGTTCAAACCTGATAGGCGGTCAGAGTTTCAAATTCTCGTTGTTAACTCGTGAACCTTGAGGAGGAACCAACTGCAATATCTTGTACACTCACGAGTTTAGAGATTGCAACGCATAGCGGGCTTTTTCTTGTCAAGCAAAGCCCATCCTAAATAAATGGACTAAGCATAACCTGCACGCCATTCAGTTAAATCTATGAACACATACTACTCAGCGCATTGCGATATACCAAGAACCGCAAAGACCACCATCTCGTACGACGGTTGATCATACGCCTAAAAGAGTTAGAAGGTTGAATAATAAAATATATACTCCTCTTCCCCCTCCTCCTCCTCCTCCTCCTCCTCCTCATCTCCCCTCATCCTCCTCCTTCGTAAGTCAGGCATCAGGCGATGACTGGCCCGTCGTCCCCAAGACCGTTTTCCGTTTCCATATCTGGTTCGCTGGCGTTAGGCAGGAAAATTTTTTACGGCGTCATCCACTAGCAGAAAATTCGGAGGAAACGCTTAGATCACAGCCCACCGCCAAATACTTGCGTGGGATCGTCCTGAATTCGGCGACGGAGGCGTTCATCTATCCATATGGTACACTAGCCTAATCATCTAGTCAACTGACGTTAGACATTTTTCCTGTCATAGTAACACATTTGGAGATTGTCATCGAGTAGTGGAGACCTATTTGAGGATCAGTGTCCAGCCTGACCTATAACTTCACCTACATTTCGCAATCAGACTTCACTGACTGTTGCTCTACTGTCCAATACCTGTGTACGGCATGGGTGATCCGCAGGTAGGCTACCAAATGGGCCTCTTTGACTTGGTGCTTACCCTTGACCGGGAGAATAGTGAGCCAGTGGAAGTCGACATGCCTTGTGAGGTCTGAAGCAATTTTTTTCACACAGACGAAACACGCGTATATTCGCCTTTGCTTCTGTAAATAATAGTCCTTTATGTCACGGTATCCGCTGCTCTAGCACGTCGTACACAGGCCTCTTTTTTCATCCTTTCTGTGCCTCAAATCTATTCCACCAAACTGTCAACGGGTGCTCTTCAAAGTTCTGCCTCCGCTGTCTATTGTATCCACAGTAGCTCTGCTATCTCAGGAAGTATTGACCGAAATTCCAAATTACGTTTTTATTTCTAAAAGATTAATGAAATAGGGTTCATGCTGACCCCGTTGTGAAAAGCTCCGCGCCTCGGTGGGATTCGAACTCATGACAGCAAGGGGAAGGATTTCGTACAGCTAATGCTCTAGCCGCCTGAGTTACGTGAGTTTAATTTCATTTGTTTCACGTTTACCCGCCCAGCACACTGTAACGTCTAAAATTCACTAAATCTGATGCAGTAAGCTGACTGCCCAAACAGAAATTTCTAAGTACTCCACATAGAATCCACCAGATGACTACCAGGTTCACGTAATTCATAGATGTTTTGGCAGATTTGGATAATTAATATTGCCTCAACTGTAAAAGATTCGGCGCCCCGGTGAGATACGAACCCAAGAAAGCAAGAGCAAAGCTCTAGTATAGTAGGAAATTCTGCTTGGGCAGTCAGCTTACTGGTTAAGATCTGGTGGATTCCAGATGTTGTAGTGTGCTGGGTAGGCAACTTGACCCAAATGGAATTATACTCACGTCTTCCGGTGGAGCCTCGCAGCTCAGGTGGCTAGAACGTTGGTTGTACTAGATCCTTCCCCTTGCTATCAAAGTTTCGAATGTCACCGAGGCGTCGAGTTTTCCACAGTTGGATCACTGTGAATTATTTAGTCTGCCAAAACATCTATTAAATAGGGTTGTCATAGTAATTGTCTTGTCTCATTATGTAAAGATGTTTCAGTTAATTCAGGATGTCGGCTTTCGAAATAACCACATATCGACCTTTGGATACAATACATTCCGCAAAATAAGTACGTAAACGGCCTGAATATTCCACGTTGATTTCTAATACCCATATGAATTAAAATATACTTCATAGAAGACATGCGTAAAATATCCTTTCTTTAACTCTTTCGGTGGAAAATTACTCTTTCTTTAAATTTTTCGTTGGGTGAAGTAGTTTCCTTTTATTTTAAATAATATTACCAATTCTCGAGTAAGTTGGATCTGGGCCTACCGTTACACTTGCAAATTTCGTACTTTCCATGCGAGAAAAATCACCAATGTTTATACACTAATAAGAAGAATTCATATAGGGCTAAGATACGTTTGTCATGGAGATAAGCCATGTTGTCCACTTTGTTAACTGCATCAGTAAGTGTCCTATTGAGATGCTGCGTAGACACTTCACAGTCTTAAAAATCTCAAAATTAGAAACTTTTCAAAAACTGAAAAATGATATTTCTTCAAGTGCCACATTTCAAGAAGACGTAATTTACAATCGAGTGAGTAAAAGGAAGATTACGTTTGCAAGTGTTTCCTATAAAATGTGTTTGAATCTGCAGGGATATCAAAAACCGATAGGGAGAGTGTGTGATACCTAAGTAGTCATTGCTTGTGGACTTTATTCGTTGCGAGCCGTCGATAAGAAGCTCATTCAAAGGCCGACACCCTGACAAGGTTGAAACATTCTGGCATTGCACAGCACGATAATTAACGCAACAATCCTACCTAGACAGTCGTCTTGAATTAAAAATGCATTTTGGAATCTCAGTCCAGATTTCACGAGATAGAACAACACTGTACTTAACTTTACAGTGACTTAGAATCCTGTTTGTCAGAAAAAGGTGACAGGCGGAATTCGTTCGTAAGGTCGGTTGCGTTTTTCTCAACTCACCGCGTCCTAGAAGCCGCAGGTGCAAACAGAATTCATAATTCAGGCGGCGCAAACGAAACAGCTCTAAACGACGCAGGTATTGTTTTTGAACAAAAGAATGTAGTTTTGAGATGAGGCGTACTAACGGCAGTCCATTTGATAATTTAGAAAACGACTGCACTGCCTAACGAACCCATGATCATAACCAAGCGGCATTTTATATAAGACAGTGTAACATTCCCCTTTGAACATTCCGGTTATATTGAAAAGTAGAAATATAATTTAAAGCACAAGGGGGCAGTTTGTTTTTGAAAGAATCCAACACCTCACATCCGAACTTTAGCATTTAGTCATTGGAGAATTCTAGGAGCTTAAAACCATCAGAAACTGCGATCAGTTTGTTTTTCAACCGAAAAAAACACGCCGTCTTAGTGAGTGCTGGAAAATAACGCATTAGGGCGCATACAAAAAACGTTTCTTTGAGCATACTGCTCATCGGTTACTAAAGCGAGAGGAACATCCTATTCGGAGTGAAGTTACCTTCTGATTACCACAATTTGTCTTTAGCAAGAAAGAATCACATCTGCTTTTGAGTCAAGATGCGCAGAAAAATTGAACTCATGATTTGATTCCACATTTCCTTTTTCGAACATGAAACGAGATTTGATGTTTAAGATTCATAAGACCTAGTTCATATTACCCGTCGTAGATTCTAACCAAACAAAGCAAGGGAATGGAATTAAAATTCAGGTGCCACGCGAAATGCCTCATAATCCATTTCTGAGAGTTTTAATGGCAAAAAGTGACGTTCTTTGGTTCGTGATTATCAATTCGATTTTAAGAGGCTTAAGTATTCACAGTAACTTTGATCCTTCAGATTTATCCCATCAAATTTTCAATTTAAATTTCTCGTTTCGGCTGCAAATTTCAGTGTATTCGTAAAGGAAGGTAATACCGTACAATTAGCCTTGTTTTTATTTTATGAATATCTATCGTGCTGTTTTTACACACAGATGGAATATTTGCTTTGAGGACAGATGATAACATCGACAGGCTTAACTACCTACATGATTTTTTAATGGACGAGATACATTCATCGAGCAGGTTACGGAACGTGCTCATTCCGCTGTGTCTTAGTGCTCAATCAATTCGAGTCGCTCTCCACTACAACCCGAAGTCGTGGTCCCATAGTGGAGTTCGGCCGTGCCACAACGGCACATGGCAGCCCTATTCAGGGATGACACTGCCAGCCTCCACGAGGGGAAGGGCCTAGAAAAGGTGGCGTAGACATTGCTGGGTACCACGCCGTCTCCAGGCTAGCCAGGGCCGCAGACGTCTAAACATGGTCGAAACAATCAAAATCGAAACAACAACAATACCAATAACAACAACAACCATACTCATTCTCCTCATCCTACCTCTTCTTCCTCTACCTCCGTCTATTCTTCTGCCTATTCTTCTCCTTCGTCATCTTCTCCTCCATCTCCTTCCCGTCGCCCCACTCGTCGTCACCAGACTGGCAGGGTGAGCGCGCTCACTCTGGCAGCCTGGAATGTTCGTTCCCTTTTAGACAATCCAAGGAGCAACCGACCGGAGCGGAGGACGGCGCTAGTGGCACGAGAACTGGCGCGCTACAAGGTGGACATCGCCGCACTCAGCGAGACCCGTTTCTCCGAACAAGGCCAACTGGAGGAGGTGGGTGCTGGCTACACCTTCTTCTGGAGCGGTCGACCCAGGGCAGAGCGACGGGACGCGGGCGTCGCCTTTGCCATTCGGAATGACATCGTGGGACGACTGCCCTGTTTGCCGCAGGGCATCAACGATCGCCTGATGAGCCTCCGCCTGCCTCTCCGGGGAGGCAAATTCGCCACCATTATCAGCGCCTACGCTCCGACGATGACCAACCCCGACGCCGTCAGAGACAAATTCTACGAGGACCTGCACGCCCTCTTGGCGACTGTGTCGAAGGCGGACAAGTTGATTGTCCTTGGCGACTTTAACGCCCGCGTCGGCACAGACCATACTGCCTGGAGAGGAGTGCTGGGTCCCCACGGTCTCCGCGGCTCAAACGACAATGGTCTGCTGCTTCTCCGCACCTGCGCAGAACACCGCCTCATCCTGACGAACACGTTCCTCTGTCTGCCGGAGCGAGAGAAGGCCACCTGGAGGCATCCTCGGTCGCGTCAGTGGCACCTGCTGGACTATGTCCTCGTCCGGAGGCGAGATCAGCGGGACGTGCTGGTGACGAAGGCGATCGCGGGTGCTGACGGGTGGACCGACCATCGCCTCGTCATCTCGAAGATGCGTATTCGCCTACAGCCTCGCAGGAGACCACAAGGTAAGCGACCCCCAGGTAAGCTGAATGTTGTTTTGTTGTCTTTGCCTGCTCACCGTCTCCATTTCAGCAATGAGCTAGCTCAACGGCTCGACAACCTTCCTATCGCTGCCGCCGCCGACGACGCCGCCGCTGCCGAGAACGCCTCCGTGGAGAACCGCTGGTGTCAACTGCGAGACACGGTCCAGTCGACGGCGCTCGCCGTCCTCGGTCGCGCTCCCCGCCAACACCAGGACTGGTTCGACGACAACGACGCCGCCATCAGAAATCTGCTAGCTGAGAAGAACCGCCTACACAAAGCCTACGTAGATCACCCCACCGATGCCACCAAAGCTGCCTTCTACCGCAGTCGCCGCCAACTTCAGCAACGACTGCGCGAGATGCCGGACACCTGGACTGCTCGCAAAGCTGAGGAGATCCAAGGCTACGCGGACCGCAACGAATGGAAGAACTTCTTTTCTGCGATCAAAACTGTCTACGGTCCGCCGACGAAGGGCACCGCTCCTCTCCTCAGCGCCGACGGCAACACTCTCCTGACTGAGAAGACGCAAATCCTGCAGCGATGGGCCGAGCATTTTTGAGGCGTACTCAACCGCCCCTCCGTCATCTCCGACGCCGCCATCGAGCGTTTGCCGCAAGTGGAGACCAACGTGGACCTCGAACTCCCGCCATCTCTCCAGGAGACCATCAGGGCCGTGCAGCAGCTCTCCAGCGGGAAAGCACCCGGATCGGACGCAATCCCTGCTGAGGTCTACAAGCACGGAGGTCCCCAACTAATGGATCACCTGACTGCGCTCTTCCAAGAAATGTGGCGTCAAGGTGCAGTCCCGCAAGATTTCAAAGACGCAACCATCGTGCATCTCTACAAGCGCAAAGGGAATCGCCAAGTCTGCGACAATCACCGCGGCATCTCCCTGCTGAACATCGCCGGGAAGATCTTCGCACGAATCCTCCTCAACCGCCTCAATAACCATCTGAAACAGGGCCTTCTGCCGGAAAGCCAATGCGGCTTCCGTCGTCATCGTGGAACCACGGATATGATCTTCGCCGCCCGTCAACTTCAGGAGAAGTGTCAGGAGATGCGGACCCACCTGTACTCTACCTTCGTTGACCTGATGAAAGCCTTCGACACGGTGAATCGTGAAGGGCTGTGGAAGATCATGCAGAAATTCGGCTGTCCGGAGCGATTCACTCAGATGGTGCGTCAGCTGCACGACGGTATGATGGCGCGAGTCACGGACAACGGAGCTGTCTCAGAGGCATTCGCAGTGACCAATGGAGTGAAGCAAGGCTGCGCACTGGCGCCTACCCTCTTCAGTCTTATGTTCTCTGCCATGCTGATGGACGCCTACCGCGACGAACGCCCAGGGATCCGCATCGCCTACAGGACGGACGTTCACCTCCTTAATCAACGGCGGATGCACTTCAAATCGCGCGTATCCACAACCACCGTGCACGAACTCCTCTTCGCCGACGACTGCGCCCTGAACACCACCTCGGAAGAGGAGATGCAACGCAGCATGGACCTGTTCTCCGCCGCCTGCGAGAACTTCGGTCTGGTCATCAATACACAGAAGACGGTGGTGATGCACCAACCGCCACCCAACTCAGCCACAGCCCCCAACGCGCCGCCGCAAATCAGCGTGAATGGGACCCAACTGCAAGTGGTGGGGAACTTCCCGTACCTGGGCAGTACTCTCTCCCGCAACACCAAGATTGATGACGAAGTCGTTAACAGGATCTCGAAAGCCAGTCAAGCCTTCGGTCGCCTCCAAAGCACAGTTTGAAATCGTCATGGTCTCCAACTGAGCACCAAGCTGAAGATGTACAAGGCCGTCATCCTGCCGACACTACTGTATGGAGCGGAGACTTGGACGGTGTACGCAAAGCAGGCACGTCGTCTGAACCACTTCCACCTCAGTTGTCTTCGTCGCATCCTGAGGCTGAGGTGGCAGGATCAAATCCCCGACACCGATGTGCTGGAACGGACAGGAATCCTCAGCATCTACGCCATACTGAGGCAAATTCAGCTGCGCTGGAGCGGCCACCTGGTGCGCATGAATGACGAGCGACTACCCAAACGACTCTTCTACGGAGACGTCGCGACGGGTTCTCGCCGTCAAGGAGGCCAGATTCGCCGTTACAGGGATACCCTGAAGTCCTCCCTGAAATGCCTGCAAATCAACCCCACCAACTGGGAGGAGCTCGCACTCGATCGACCGGCCTGGAGGAGGACAGTGAAGACAGGCGCTGCGATCTACGAAGCCAAACGCATCGCTGCCGCCAAAGCGAAACGTGAAGCCCGCAAATCACAACTTCGCCCAGTAAGCAACGTCGCCGCACAACCGCTTCCAACGTGTCCTCGGTGTCAACGGACCTTCCGGGCTCGAATCGGACTTGTTGGACATCTTCGGATTAACTGCGCCTCTCGAACGGCACCAACCATCGTCCCCCCGCCTGCCTCTTCCTCCTCCTCTCCGCCGCCAACTAACCCTGACAATTCTTCTGACCCACCACTTCCACCATCCTCCTCCTTCTCATCCTCCTCCTCCTCCTCCT